GAACATCAAAAGCCCAGGGGAGAGACAGGGTGGGGGGAGCGTGGGGTGTCTGTAGGGGCTGGGTGTACAGCTGTATAGTGTATCATACGGGGAGAGGAGACCCGTTAGCCGCTGCTTAATTAATCGCCCAGTTTAACTGGTGAGGGGACACCACCGGTTCCCTCCACTGGTCCCTGTGGAGTTTGACGTAGAGAAACCTGGTGGACACCGCGAACGAGAAGACAGGCCAGCGCGCAGATGCAAGCTGCTGTTTTTCTCGGTTTCAATGAGACCTGAATGTTTTATAGTGGGTTTTTTTGTAATTTTTTTTTCTTTTTTTTTTTTTTTTTAATGTCAGTATTGAGAGAAAAAATAAAGTATTTTAAAAAATATATTTCCTCAGGGTGTGTTTTGGTGGGAGATGCTGTGCTGTGTTCACACAGGCAGTGAGGATGGGGCTCTTGTTGCAGGGGTGTCAACACTGGGCTGGTGGGATCCCTGGGACCTTCAAGGCCAATAAAAAAGTAAATAATCAGCACCCAGGAACGTTGAGGCTGGTAGGGAGGGGAAAAATAAATCCTTTTGGGTTGTCCTCTTGGTGCACAGGGTCTGATAATGAGGGGACAGGAGTGAATGTGTGACCTGCTGAGGCAGGATGGCTGCTCCCCTCATCAACGTTTGTTACGCTGACCACATTGCCAGTGGGTCAGGGGCTCTGTGTCCCCATGAGGTCCCAGGATGTGTCCGACACGGGCAGTGGGGTGCTGCAGCTGGGGATGGGTTGGTGAAAGGGGCTCCTTGGTGGCTGCCCAAGGCAAACTGGAGAGATGCGAGCACCCAGCTCTTCTCAGAGGGTCCCTGGGGCAGGGCCAGAGGCAGCAGCACAAGTTGCACCCAGGGAAAATCCTGCTGATATCTGGTAAAGTTTGCCCATATGCTCCCAGCAGGAGCAGCATGCAAGGACAGGCAATGAGAGCAAAAGCCATGGGTGTGCCTCAGGAAGGGGACTGGCAGAGGCTACTAAACCCCATATGGGCCCTATGGCTTACTGCCTCCTCCCAGCTGATAGCTCAGGGCCATGAAATTACTCCACGGAAACCTAAGCCTAAAGCCCACACAGCAAACAGGGCTGGGAACAGATACTGGGCTGGGCAGACTGGGGCGGCAGATCCAGCACAGCTCCCCCCAGCCATGGGGTCTGACAGTGCTGCCGAGGATACTCGTGGGCAAGGAAAGACCGTAGGGAGGGTTGACCATGGGGGAGGAGAAGCCCTTGGAGCAGGAACACCTATGGGGAAGAATGCCCATGGGCCGGTGGGTGTCAACAGGGAGGGCACATCCATGGAGCAGGGGATGCTGGTGGAGAAGGGATGCCTGTGGTAGGGGGACGCCCTTGGGGCAGGGATAGCCATGGAGAGGGGATGCGTGTGGGCCAAGGAGGTGCCCAAAGGGAGGGGATGGCCTTGGGGCCAGGGATGCAGTAAGTGTATCTGAGCCAGAGTGGGACGGAGGCGCTGAGCGTGGCCGCTGCCTGCCCTCTGCTGGCAGGAGCGCCTGGCGGGCCAGGAGGCGTTTGGGGTGCTGCAGGAGGGCGCCAATCCCTGGGGTCAGGCACCAGCCTCTAACTCCAACACGTTGGCTGGGGACGGGTCCCCCATCCTGCACCCACCGTGGCTGGGCTGCGGCCCCCTATGAGGCTACACGGTCCCTGTAGGGGAGCTGGTGGGGGGCTCTGGAAACCCTGGGGGGGCACAGGGAGATGATGACCATGGTGGCAATGAAAGGACTGCCCTCAGCCGACCCCCTCGCGAATCCCAGACCATCCAGGGCAAGCCTCAGCCAACAGCCCCTTCCTCCCACCACAGCACGTTTGGGGGCTGCCCCGTCCCCCCAGCAAGGTTCTGGGCAGGGGAGGAGGGTGCTGCAGGAAGGCTCCTGCCCCTGCAGATACCAGGGGTCTCTGCAGGGGTGGGGGTGGCCCCAGAAAGGGGCACAGGCTGGGGCCAAACCCAGTCTCTGGTACCAACCACCCTCCTGGGGCTGCTGGGGGTTCATGGGGGTGGGGGGCCCAGCCAAGCTCCCCAGCTGCTGCAGGTCCTGATTTGTGGGACACCCTCAGCCCCCCCCAGCAGGTTTACCCTGCTCTGGGAGCTCCTGTGGGTGCTGTCCCCAGCAGGACCCACGTCCCACAGATGGCAGGGAAGGTGAGGTTTTCCAGCCCTCCTGCTGGATTCCATTAGTGTTTGCAATTAGGAGAGGCAGCAGGGAAGATGGAAGCTGACAGGAGCTGGGGCGCACACCCCACCACCCTGCTTGCCCCAGATGACAGATGCCAAGGTGGATCTTCCCCCAGCACTTGCTGGGTGGTGATGGAACCAAACTGGCAGGGAGTTAGAACCCTACAGAGCTGAGGAATGCTTTGTGGAGAGTCCTGGAGAGATTTTAGCAGGAGTTTCCGGGTACCAGTTAACCCAAAAAAGAGGGCTGGGGGGCAGGGGAAGCACCAGCCCTCCCATCTCTATCCCGGCTGCCACAGGAGGCGATGGCCTGCGTCCCCACAGGAGAGCAGCGGCAGTGTTTTCTCGAACAGAGGCAGCATGAGGACAGGGCGAGAGCCGTGCTGGCAGAGCTCTGAAGTAGGACAGAGCAGCACCTGAGCTTCCCCCCCTCCCCAGGGGCCTCCATGGCCTCCTACCCCAGCAGGAGATTGTGCTATATAAACACAGCGTTCCCAATTTCAGCACATTTCCCCCGCTGCTATGCACAGGCCCCATCTCACGGGCAGTCCTGTCTTCCCGCCATTTTGAGACTCCCCTTGAGTCCAGCTGGTTTGGTGGAGCCCTCTGCAACCTGCCAGGCTTTGGGGCAGAAGCACCCACTGTCACAGCCCCACACAGCTCCTGGAAAGATTGCCCTCTCCATCGTGGCTCTGCCCCAAAGGCCTGAGGCAACTTTTTGCCACACAATCTGCGTATTTAACCCTCTCTGCAGAAACCCTCAGTTCCTGCAACCCCCTAAAAGCCAACAGGATGCAGCTGCTCTGTGCACCCTAGTCACTGCCCCAACAGGCTCTCGGCTTGGACTCAGGGGCTGTATCCAGCCTCCCACCCTGCTCCTGTAGGCATGACAGGACCAGACCCAGGGCTTCACTCATGTAAAAGTACAGCAGCGCAGAGCAAAGGGAAAATAAACCAAGGAGCAAGGTGGTGAGGTAGAACTGGAAATGAAAAATCACAGTGATCAAAACATAACTAGTGAGTCTGGGGCACAACACGGGGCCAGATGGCACCAGAAATACAAGAGTGTCATCAAGAAACGCAAGGGGACGCAGGAAACATTGTGCTGAAGCTCCCCATAGTGGTGTCAGGCTGCACCCCAGACCCCAGACATAGCCCAAGTGCCCCCTCGTGCCCACTTTAAGTCAGGGATCACAGGAGAAGCCCTTTGCTGCTGAGGAGCCAAAGCAGCAGATCTGAGAGCTCAGGGCCAGCGTGGGAAAAGCAACACTGGTACCTGCTGCCAGGCCCTCTGACTCAGCACTTCTTGCCAAGACAGGGCAGGGGAGAGACACCGCCAAACTAATTTTTTCTCTTAATGTGAGCTAAGAGGTGTCAAGGATGAAGAGCTACCCCACACACAGCAGGGAAGTGCACACACAGGTGGAGTCCCAGACACTGGCTGACAGATAGCACCAGCACCACGTAAAGGAACTGCCAGGGCCTGGCTAGAGTTTTGTGGGATTTTTATTTTTTTTTTAATTATTTTTGCGTTTGGTTTTTTTCCTTTTTTTGTTTTTTTTATACAGGCTAGCGTTGTACCCTTTGCTAAAGCTGCTGATTCTGCCACATAAACTAGAACAGAAATTTCTCAGAAATTAAGTCGGTTCCCCTCCTTGTTAATTCACTGTCTGCCTCCCAACTGAACAACGGTCTGGATTTGTGTTTGCAGAAAACATTCCCTGTACAAAGTCTGACGTGCAGCTACACTGTTCTGACTGAGGAATGAAGAAGCCAAGAGTCCATTGAACATTGGATTTTTCCCTGTACAACGTGGCCCGATGTGAAGTTTGGTCCACTAAGGACAGCGCATTAACCGTAGAGATCATCGTCATTGTCTTCACTGTAGACGTTGCCCCCGCTGCTGCCTCCTGTGCCTTGGCTGGGACCAGTGCCACCCTGGTTACCCGACGGGAACCTGCATGCAGCAGTGAGGAAGGGGAGAAAAGAGATGCTGTTGAAAAACCTCCTCACAGCTCTGCACCATCCCCTCCCGCCATGCCCACCCCAGTGCCAAGCAGGACAGGCAGGAGAAATGGGATGAAGCCTTAGGACAGGTCACACAAAAGGCTCACACAGCTGCTGCCTGTGTGATAAGGGTTCATGGACTTCAGGAACACTAACAGAGCAGCTACGACCTATCTGCAGCACAGCCTACACCTGTCACATTGTGTACTGGATGCTGCACGTGCTGGGAAGGCACAGTGGAAGAGCAGTTTGTTAACCAGGATCCAGCAGAGAGCTGCCTCAGTGCTCTGCTCTGGGGCTGGCTACACTCCCCCCACTCCCCCACAGTTACCTGAAGCTGCCAAAGCCACGGCTCTGCTGTAGAGTCTGCGCAAACATCTCGTATTTCCTGATGTCGTTGTCACTGACTGAGCGGCGAGCAAAGCGCATGGCCTCCTCAAAGTGATCCCGGCGTATCTCAGGAACCGGGTCATCCTCCTCCACTTCCTGCAGCGAGGTAGAGGGCCCAGGTGAGCTGCCTGACCTGGCTCTGTGGCCCCACAGCTGCCCACAGCCTCCCTCAGGGTCAGGATCACAGAATCACAGAATTGTCTAAGTTGGAAAGGACCTTGAAGATCATCCAGTCCAACCATTAACCTAGCACTGACAGTTCCCAACCACACCATATCCCTCAGCACTATGCTGACCCAACTCTTAAACCCCTCCAGGGATGGGGACTCCACCACTGCCCTGGGCAGCCCATTCCAACACCCAACAACCCCTTCTGGAAAGAAATGCTTCCTAGTATCCAGTCTAAACCTTCCATGGCGCAACTTGAGGCCACTGAGGGTGCTCAGACCCCGTCAAGGCCGGGGCTGGGGAGGGAGGGACGGACACTGTGGCAGACCATGAGTCAGGGCTGCAGCGGGGGCCTTCCGAGCAGGGCCCCAGTAGGGCCTCAGCCTCCCACAAGATGAGAACAAAGTGCTCCAGCTCCGTGACCTGTGCAAAAGCCCCGTCGTCCCCATCCAAGGATTAGGGAGAGGAACACATCATGCCTCACAGACACGAGCGGGGAAGGCTTGGTGCCCCACTCACCATGGCAGAAGGGTTGGTCTGCCTCTCGCGTTCTCGCCTGATCTCACTCTCGATGGACTCACGGATGGCCAGTTTGCAGGCACGCTGGCAGATTTCTGTCAAGTCAGCTCCCGAAAAGCCATTGGTCATCTTAGCTAGGAAATCCAGGTCAACATCCTAGTAAAAAAAGGCAAGAGAGGACTCTCCTTAACACCTTACATCCTCAGATGACAGAGAGGTGTCTTCAGATCCCATGGTATCAAGGTTCTGCCTTAACTCTGGCCAATTTTGTAAAGATCAACTGTTAAAGCTCTTGTTCTTGGGAAAAGTTAACCACACAAAGGCAAGCCATGCTCCCCATACATTCACCAAGATGACAGGAAGTAGCTGTAAATGCCGCTGCACTTGTGGATTTAGGGTATGATTTGCTCAGGTCTCAGCATTAGGAGCCAAACGAAACACGGTCAGACTGGAAATGGAGATGGGGCACAGGCAGACCAACCGACCTCCTTCCTCCTCCTTTCCCTCAACTCAGGAGGTAGCAATGCAACCTCTTTTGAAGCTTTCCTTCCTAACAGAACTTAAAAATGTAAGCCTGGCATAAAAAAGCTTGAGATCTCACTTGACATCTGCTTTTCTCTGATTAACTACCAGTTGCATTATTGCCTGCTCCCCAAGGCAAGGGACACAGCTCTTGACTATGACAGAGTTCAGCAACAATTAACTGCTAATGGTTCCTCTTTAGTTTCCATTTCACAGCCCTGTGTTCTACATTTACTTTTCTTTCAGTGTACAAGACTCTTTTCTACCTTGCCCTAACAAGCTTTCCCACACTCTGGGCAGGACTCCACTATGAAACAAAGGCCTGCTGTTCTTACAGCCGACACCTAACCTGGTTGATACCTAGCCTCAGAGCTCAATCCTCCCCCTGCCTCTTCATTTCCACCCTTCATGGACTGAAGGCTTCCCAGCTCTGTATCATGTGGAGCAGCCACCAGCCTCCTGCTCTGTCTCCAGCTTGTGAGGAGCACGTACAGCACACAGCAAACCCAAGTCAGACACTGTCAGGGCACAGATCCTACCTTGGCAACCGGTGATTTCCTCAGGTTGGCCTTAAGAATAGCAACCCGGGACTTCTCGTCAGGCAGGGGGATGTAGATGAGTTGATCCAGGCGGCCAGGGCGCAAAATGGCTGGGTCAATGATGTCTGGCCTGTTGGTGGCACCGATGATGAAGACGTTCTTCTTGGTGGACATACCGTCCATCTCTGTCAGGATCTGGTTGATGACACGGTCTGCAGCACCACCACCATCACCAATATTCCCACCTCGAGCCTTTGCAATGGAGTCCAGCTCATCAAAGAAGAGCACACAAGGGGCTGCTTGGCGGGCCTGCAAAAAACAAACAGTTCATATTAATACCCCTTGGTAAGGGCCACACTGGCTTCACACTAAACCTGCCCTACAATTAAAGCAGCTCAGAAGAGAACCAAGCTGCAAGGGGAGCTTGGAGGGGGTGCTCCACAAGAGTCTCCTGCCACACAAATCCTCAGTTAAATTCTCCTGAACTACAAGATGAATTTCACCAAAGCTGCAAGCATTGTGAACCAGACAAAAGGGTGGTAACTCCAAAACCTAGGCAGAAAGCTGGAGCCAATTTGCCTGGACTAGAACTCTCCCTGCAAGACCTGGGGACATCAACTGGTTATTTAGTCACTCAAGTATCAGTAGATGAGATCTATCCAATGGAAGGGAGAAATCTAGTCATTGCCTTCAGCTACCTAATGCGTAGTTATAGGGAAAAGTGAGCCAGATCTTTCTTTGAGGTGTGCAGTGAAAGGATGAAAGAGGACAGGCACAATTGGCTGCAAAGAAAATTTCAGTTAGAAATATGGAAAAAAAAAATCTTCACAATGAGAGAACTCAAACACTATCACACAGGCTTAGAAGTCAGGAATTCCACCTGTAGCACATGTTCAAAACACAAGGCACTGAACAACCTGATCGAATTTCCACATCACCTCCCTGCTCTGGACCAACAGCTGGACTAGATGGCCTCTGAGGTTCCCTCCCAACCTGAAATTTTCTCTCTCTCCATCCAACTTTGTTCTGTCAGCTCCTTCCCTGACCACAAGAGTGAGGATTCCCAGAACAGTCCATGCAGATACCTTCTGGGTGAGGAGGTGACACTATCTATGGGGCAACCGGGCAGTAGAAGTGAGCTCCTTTCTAAGCCACATGTATTGCAGGACAAGAACCCACAGGATACTTTTAAAATCTATAAATGGTGATGGCTAATGAGGTTAGTTTCCAGGGATGTGGAGGGTATCTCTGCCATCCTAACACTAGCCTCACTGCTAAGACACTAGGGCATTCATCATCCTTTAACAGACACAAACTGCAGCCAGAGAAAACCATTTAAATCCTCTTTGACAACAGAGCTATTAATTCCCTAACATCACGAAAGCAGCCACTGCTCTCAGTAAAAGTGGGGAAAACACAAGAGAGACAAACAAGAACCAGGCCAGTAAGACAGATGCAGCAGAGACAAAGTTCTGGCATAACCTCAGCAGAAACAGCACAGGATGTAGAAGAAACACTTACCTTGTCAAAGATCTCACGCACGTTGGCTTCAGACTCGCCAAACCACATGGTGAGCAACTCTGGCCCCTTGATGGAAATGAAGTTTGCCTGGCATTCATTGGCAATGGCTTTGGCCAGCAGTGTCTTGCCACAACCAGGTGGCCCGTAGAACAGAACCCCTTTCGATGGGGTCATACCGAATTTCAGGAACTTGTCTGGGTGCTCCACAGGATACTGAAGGAGAACAAAACAAACACATACACCTCTCATGGTGAACCAGAACAGACATGTACCTTAGAAGCACAGAATGGTCTGGGTGGAAAGGGACCTTTGAAGATCTAGTCCAACCCCTCTGCCATGGCAGGGACATCTTCCTCTAGGTCACTTTTGTTTCTCCTCCTACCAGAAACACTACCTGAGATTTCTGGTGGGTTAAACACAAGCTCCTGCCTGCTCAGTGCCACTGGAGTTTTAAAATGGACACTGGTTTGAGAAGTACCACAGCTAAACTGGAAAGCTACCTTAAATAACCTATCTACCTGTAAGAACTTAGTACTAGTTCAGGTAGTTTTTCAGCACACTTAACCCCAGCTTCACTCTGCCCTGAACAAGTAAAAGGGAACAGCTCATTATCTAATCTATTCGCTCTGCTCTCCAGAGACAGGCAAGGTGTCTGATGTGAGCATTTATCCTCAGCAACAAGGTCAGAGATAGGTGATGGTTTTAACATAAGAAAATTAGATTGAAAAAAGATTCTTTTACTCACAGGGAGGCTATTTTTACAATGCCAGCTGAAAGCAGGAACATATCAAACCCAAATCATTCCAGTGCAGCCACCAGGAGTTTACACAGAATATTCATGACTTTTTGTCTCAGTCTTTCCTTTTGTAGAAGGCTTCACAATTACTTTTCACCTGTCCCTGTGCTAATGCTGATGGGGGCTCTCTCTGTGAGAATCTTCACTTTCTGGCATAGAAAGCCACCACATAAGAGGATTCTCAGCAGTGGTCCCACTGCTGCTGTTTCTGTATGTAGCACAACACCCACTCAAGATGACACTGTAGACTCAGCTAAGGAAAGCCTGATGCTGCTTCCCAGCACCTTCCTCTCCAAGTTCACTAAGACGCAACAGCGTATTTTTAGTCCATTACAAGGAAATGCTATAAAAACCTCTGCATTTACCCTGTTCACAATCCAAACAGGGATCTGAAGAAGTTCTGGTATTTATTATTCTAATTATTTTTCAAACTGACTAAGAAAAATCTCTTGGAAATCCTTACCTGTACAAGCTCCTGGAGTTCTCTCTTTACATCTTCTAGACCACCAATATCTTCCCAGGTAACCTGTGGCACCTCCACCACAGTCTCCCGAAGAGCAGAGGGGTTGCTCTGGCTCAGAGCCCACTATTGTTAGAAGAAACAGTGTTACATGAATTCTAACACATTATGTTCAGATAAGCAATTAGACACTGCACCCAAAAGAAAGAGGGGCACCCTGCATTACCCTGAAGTCATCCATGGTCACAGCCAATGAGTTCATCACTTCGGCATCGATGGTTTCATCTTCTAGGTCTATGAGATCCATCTTCTTTCTGATAGCCTGAAGAGCAGCTTCTGAGCAAAGAGCAGCCAAGTCAGCACCAACATGGCCATGGGTCTCGTTTGCCACCTGAAAGCAGAGCACTGACTATGACTCACAGGGATACAAGCAAGTGCTCTGCAAGGGCAATGCATGCTCTGGTCACTCACTGGGATGTGCAACAAATCTCTGGAGAACGACAACATCAGTGCTTTGCTGCGGATTCAAGACAAGTGCTACCTCGTATTTAACCGGCAAAGATACTGCTGTTCCACCTCCTACTTGAGATCAAAGCTGCAACTAGAATTCAGATGGTGTGCAGAGAGAGAACCCTGAGGACCACAGTTCTTCATTCAGGACAGAGATTACAGGAACCATCCAGTTTACACATGGTGTCCAGTGTCACCACAATGTCACCGAGCTCTGAGATTGCTGTTACAGGCTTGCTTTATTTTTAAAGAGAATGCCACAGCAAACAAACCCAGGGGGATGGTGGCAAGGCACTTCCAGACTGGACTGATAAACGTTTGTTTCACTTAGCCATGCCATTCTTAACTAGTTAGTGAGTGAGAATTTCTGGTCACTGGTAAACTAGTTAGAAGGAAGCCCTGAGATCACACATTCACCTAGTTTCATGCTGTCCTAAATGAGTTAACTACATTTATACGTTCAAGCTTTAACAACTCTTCCACTACAAAACAGAGCATCAGGAACGTCCATCTGCATGGACGAGCTTTCCTAATAGCACACTACTCACCTGTTCCAGATCCACATCATCAGCCAGTTTCATATTTTTCGTGTGGATCTGCAGGATCTCCAGGCGCCCGGTGGCATCTGGGATACCAATATCTACCTCTCTGTCAAAACGACCTGAGGAGTACAAAACCTATGTCAAGCTGCTGATTCTGCAAACTAGAGGAACTACAGTTGCTGCCTTCCTCTGACTGGACAACCTGATGACAAGCCATAAACACATATGATTTCAGAAAATGCCAGAGCTTTGGGTTTCTCTGCAGCATCTATCAGCACAGGAGCAGTCAGAACAGAGAATGAGGAAAGGCTTTAGCCATTTAGGGAAGTAAAACTATGGTATTAGGTAGAGTTCGAGATTATATGACACAGAGGACTGATGGTTTAGGAACTTTTTTCTGATCCTCATTTTTAGGAGAATACACCTCCCCAAACCAATATACCATTAGACATTCTTGTTTATTTCTACTTTTGTGTTCTCATCACAGGAGTCCGCAAATACTGAGAGATATAATTTTTCAGAACATTCATAGCAGTACCCAAGTGGTGAAAAACATGAACTAGCCCAGTATCTGGACGCAGGAAACCCAGGTATTACTGCAGTATTAGCTAAGGTATGCACACCAACCATTTTCCTCTAGCCGCAGCTGTGCATTCAAATGGCTCATTGAGCATTTAAGAGTCAGTTTTCCCCTGCACATTTGAGTGGTTTGCTGTTACAGACTCTACCAACTGGTCATACACCAGACACCTCATTCACAACGCAAAGTTTCAAAAACCTGAATCTCAGAAACTACCAGACTTCTCATCAGTAAAAGAGAAATCACACAATTCAAATCTTTCTGCAACCTAAGGCATGAACATTGCTTTAAGCATTTAGTGTATCCCGAAATAGCTTCACCTAATACAGGCTAGCACACTTTTCCACTTCGAAGTATTTTTTTATTGCTACAAGTTCTAATCTAATATGGCACAGAAAATTATACCAAAGGCTGGAAGCCTAGCAATGAATTTCAAACAAGCAGCTGGAGACAAGTCAACAGTTTATGTAACACAGAATATGTTTAGTATTAATTTCTCCCTAATCCTTTCAAGGCCCCTGAAACACAGTCTGTAACAAAGTATGTGATACACAAGAAAGACTGCAGTGTGGTTACCAAAACGCCTGAGTGCTGGGTCAATGCTGTTAGGTCTGTTGGTCGCTGCCATAACAATCACGTGTGCTCTCTGTTTCAGGCCATCCATAAGAGTCAACAGCTGAGACACTATGCGACGTTCCACTTCTCCATGTGTCTACAGAGGCAGAAAGCAGTAGTTAGACAAAAGTCTCAGCAACACAGCACAGGAGCTAGTACTGAACCAGAGCCGACAGATATAAGAGCCATGAGCTGTTAAGAATCATCATGAAATCTATCTGATTCTTCTCATGTCCAACTGAAGTCATATGTTCTTAAATAGCGCTCGGCCCTGCAGTCAAATGCAGAGATTCACGCCAGCTGCTACTAAAAAAGACATACCTCTTGACCTTCTACAGGCTTGCTTTACCTTCTCTCTCTTAGGAGCAATGGCATCCAGTTCATCAATGAAGATGATGGCAGGAGCATTCTTCTCTGCTTCTTCAAAAGCTTTCCTCAGGTTGCTCTCAGACTCACCAGCCAGCTTGCTCATGATCTCAGGACCTGAAAAACAGCCTCACTGTGGCACCCACAAGAGAACAGCTAGCCCCAAGACATGCAGCTAAATTTTTTTAGTACAACATTCACAAGGGACAATCTATATTTCAAGCCAAAGTACATACTATCAACTGAGTTCACTAAATTTGCAGCTGAACAGGCAAGAACAGCATGCAGAATTACTTACTATCATTATTCTGGTGTTTCCAGTTTACTCTAACAGAATGCAGCACTAGTCAATGAGTTACCTTTAGCTGCCTCTTCCTTACCCTATTTCACACCTGGTAAGCTTCTCTGTAATTTGCCACCACACACTGCTAATGCCAATCCTAGCTTGCAAGAGAAGCAATCAAATTATATGGTGATGAATTATCAGGGTAGAGAAGGAAAAAGCTCTAAGATACTGAAGCTGCCTTTAGCTTACATTACACAGGTATACATTTACCTCTGTAAGATCCTATAAATTAGTTTTAAAAACCCCAACAAAACGAAAAAACAACAAAACCCCAAATCCCATCTCCTCTGGAAGAATAATTTAATTAAAAAACTGTGTAAGCAGACCAATCCCAGAACGAAGGACAGCATTCCCCTGAGATCTCCTACAACTGCTGAACACTACTGCAGGCTTACTGGTTTGTTCTGGTTTTAGATTTTTCCATCATGCTGATGGGAGTGATAATGAAGAGAAAGTATGCTCCTACAAGACCAAGAAAAAGCAACCTGAGCCTCAGGAGTGCAAAGCTGCCAGCTGACTGAAGTGTGCCAGCTGCAGAGCCACTGGTGCAGGCAGGCACTAAAAGCGTGTCATTACAGGTACCTCACCAGTTCATAGCAGCTCTGCCTGCAACACTGTCTGCAGCTCCAGGCTTGGAACCAGCAGACAGAGAATGCATCACTAACTCCGACAATGTTATTTTTATTATGCAATAGAAGTACAAATGTCTAAAGATACAGCTGGCTCATTAGCATTCAGTGGCAGCTTATACACACATTAGGAAGCATATGACAAGGGCAACATATGGTTAAAACCAGTCCATTTACATCTGATATCTTCAGATACAAAGGAAGTCACTTCCCTACTGCTGGTCACCACTATGCTGTGCTACACAGTCCTTTGCTATTGCCTTCACAGGTCTACATGATTGAAATCAGCAAAGGAAAGCAGCACTCCTCAAGTAAAAATCTTCAGTTATTCCAGCACTGACTGTAAAATGGGACAGAAAAGGATTGAGGAAAATTCAGAATCTGATCCTTACTGGACATAAACTAGTAACCATCTTAACTGCTACAAGTGAGAGTTATCAACAGGAGGTTCTGTCACTTGTAGCTAAGTCCCAAGGTACTCATTACAGCTTTCAGGAGAGTTCCTCCCAATTAATGTTATGTGA